CTGAGATCCATAAAGTTCATCCAATAATTCCTCAACAACAAGGATTAGGTACTTGTCGGGAATTGACACACAGTTCAATGCGTGGTAGTCGATAAATAAATTTCATGATGAGTGATGCTTCTCTACTAATATGAATGGATCGAAGAAATCACTTTGGATTAAATAAATTATCCCAATCATATCATCTATACGCCTTTGGATTTCATTTTTTTGTAAATAAGGGTAGCGGTAAGGTCTCACACAGATGGGACCTTGTCCATCAAAAACGTTTATTTTGTGTTCAATGGTCCTGGGTGGAGGAAGTCGCTAGAATAAGGAGAAAACTGAGAAAGAACATCATTCAATTGTTTGTGTTGGGGAAAGGATAAGGTAGTGATGGGTTTTTGGGAAGTAATACAAGTTTTAGGTGACATTTTATCCAAGAATTGAGAGAGTATGGATGATGAAGAGAAGAGATGCCTTATAGATGCATTTGTGAGCCCTGGTGCCAAAAATGCAGTTCTTGTGTTTGCCAATTGAAAATAACATCTCCCAAAGTACCCAGCCAAGAAACTCCAAGTATGATATCCAGTGATCCAAATTCATCAACCAAAGCATCTACTTGCATCCACTTGACAAGAGTGAGAACCCATTTCAACGGAAATACCCCAACAAACCTCCAACATTTGAACTTTGGTGTTATCGCCTAGACATATAGTTAATAGTTGACTGATGAAGATTTTAAGACCTAATATTGTAGCCAAGGTTTTGGAGATAATATTATATGTTGCGCCACCATCAATTAAAATAACTATAGAAATACCTAGGAGTTGACCTGCACTTTTAAGGGTGCAAAGGGTAAAAGAAGGATCAACGATAATGTAACACCCCATTTTCACCTTATAGTATAAACAACCAGTCATGTAAATAGACATTTTCGATAGAGGACTATTTACGATAAATAGTCTTGACGAAAGTTGTAGTAATCACAAAATCGAGAGCATGCATATAGAGAATGTCCAAATCTGACTTCATGAGAGGAAGTTATGATTTTTAGAACTTGTAGCATAGCAGTGCACGACACAGAAACCGAAATTAAGATCAGTTGATTATTAAGAAAAAACATCTAAACGAGAGTTGAAGATCTCGTCAATACCTATTCGTTGATTTAAAGACAGTCGAGAACGGATATTGTAAGAGAGAGTTATGATTTTTTATATGGAATCTAGGCCTATAAAAATATAAATTTAAAAATAAAATGATAATTAGCCGATAGACTCTAAATGAAAGTTGTAGATCTCGTCGATAGCCACACATGGATATAAAAAACGTCGAAAACGAAACTCATGTGAAGAAGTTACGAAATATATCTACGTTATGCACGGCACACACGAAGTACGCAACCAGCAGCTTCTAGAAGGTGTAGCGTGGACCACATGGGTTTTGACACGTGGCAAGCAACGAATGGATTGACGTTACCCTAGTGTGTGACGTGCACCTGTAGTACGCGACACATATCCTTACGATAAATAGATACATCTGGCTTCCTTCATTCCCACACCATCCAATCTCTCTCTATTTCTGTAACATCCAGATTCCCAGGTATCTTATTTTATGTATTTTTATTAAGTATTAGAGAGGGACTCGGCGAGTAGACGCTTAAACTCGCCGAGTAGGAACGGCGTTTGCTGACTGTATTAAATGAATGGACTCGGCGAGTCCGCGCTGTTAAGTGAAACCCTAATCCTCGGGGCCTGAGCCCTATTTAAAGGCCTTTATGGCCTCCATTTGCGGCCAATGCACCCCAGAGGAACCCTAGAGAGAGCAGTAAGAGAGTTGAGAGCAAAAGGAGGCTATTTCTTCATCTTTTTGTGTGGTTTGGCTTGAAGGAAGATAGGAGCACACATCTAGAACGTGAAGGGGACTGGATCTAAGCTAATCATCTTGTGGTATCATCTTTGGAGGTATAAACCTTTCCCATTTCGTGTTATATTGATGGATTTCTTGCTTTTAGGGTTTTTACCCTCATTTTATGGAAGATCTATAGAGTATGAGGTCCACTTTGGGATTATGACATCAGATCTGGAGAGGACCTTTCCCACTCTACTTTATGCTGATTCATGGAGGATTGGAGACTAGGTTGCCATTTCTAGTGTTATTTCTCCATTTGAGGCTTGATATGGGATGCATGCACGTAAAGGTTGCACCTTTACGTGACTTTTGAGTGTTAAAAGGATGGATCTACTGTTTGGTGAAGCAGATATGACCTCAAGAGATCTTTTGAGGGTTTTCATGGGAGGAACTCGTCGAGTCCATAAGGGACTCGACGAGTCGAGTCGGGTTGCCCCGCGACTCGCGACCTGTGACGACCCATGGAGCACCGGGTTGACCAGCGAGTCCAGGGAGGACCAGGGACGAAGAGTACAGGCATGTACTCGCCGAGTCACTCTAGTGCACTCGGCGAGTCCGGTCAATGTTGACCGTTGACTTTTGTTGACTTTTAGTGTTTAGTCAGTGGTTGGACTTATGAGCCATTAGAGGGGCAGATTGGTCTTTTTCCCTTCTTAGAGAACTTATAGAGAGGGGTTGACCTAGCCTTTAGAAGTTGTATTAATTAGAGTAATTATTTATGTGATTAGGCGAAGGCTAGCGCAGTAATTCAGAGTTCGAGATTTACCGAGTCACCTGAGGTGAGTCTTCTCACTATACTTTACCTTGAGTGGTAATAGAGCTATGTGATAGAGTATCTTGTATGTTATGTATGTGAGGTGTTGCACTGCATTATTTCTATGTGATATATGCTGTGTGTATTCCATAGTTACAGAGTTAGAACCGGAAGGTTCACAGAGTTAGGACCAAAGGGTCCACAGAGTTAGGACCGGAGGGTCCATAGAGTTATAGCCTCGAGTGGCTAATATGTGTTACATGTGGTATTTTGGGGAACTCACTAAGCATTTATGCTTACAGTGTTGTGTTATGTGTTTCAGGTACCAGTGAGGATCGCGGGAAGGCGCCGGCATGATCAGTACACACATGAGGAGCTTTTTATACTTGTGATCTTGGGATATGTTTTCTTGAGTGTTATGTGATACAATGAGATTTTTATAATATTGTGAATGAAATTATGTTTTTAAAATGTGAAAAATTGTTTGAAAAATTTGGATGTTACAATTTCTCTCTAATGTCTGAAACTCTGAAGTATTTTTGAGAGTCTGATGAACTCCACTTTAACGAAGCTCTGAGGCAGAAAGCTGGGAAAATAGAAGTGCTCGGTATCAAAGCCCTACCTATGATCTTCCCAGATTTCCCTACGATTCCTGATAATTAAGTTGCGCCTTAACTGTAACTTATATTTATATTTATATTCGTAGTCGTTGTTATGGATATATAAATATCAGTAGTTTCGGTTATAATGCTGATTGTTCTACTTACGGGAGAGGTGTCTAGAGTGATCATGTTGGCTTGGTTGTTGGATTTTAGAAAGACTATATGTCGAAATGGTCCTACCTCCCAACTTTTCGTCCTGATTGATCCTTATTTGATAGAACTCTCGGTATTCATTGGGATTAGTGAAAAATCTAGCTTTCAATACAAGATCCTCACACAGATTAATAAGTTAAATTATTATAGATTACATACTTGTTTGGCGTGCTATCCGCCAGTTGGATCGGCAATAAAATCACCTAGATAGCTATTGATCGTCTGAGTAACTGTCCAAGTGAGTTTTCACACTATATTATGTGCTCTAATATATATCATATGTATGTTAGGATATAGTTTCCTTGTAGTATGCCATTAGGCTAGTTCGGTTAGTTGCTTGTAGTATTGGATTATTTCATGATGTATTGTTTATATGTGTTGATATATTATGTGGGGAGTTGAGGGCGGACCAACCTCATGCAGAAGGCCAATAGACTTAGGCGGACTAGCATTATGCTAAAGGCCAAAGTTCGGACCAGCTATATGTTATAGGCAAAAAGGGCGGACCAGCTTCGTGCTGAAGGCCAAGGTAGGACCAGCTTTATGCTGATGGCCATTATATGTATGCATTGTATTTATATTGTGGTATACGGTATTTTGGGGAACTTACTAAGCCTAGCTCTGAACTAGTTGATATTAAATGTTTTCAGGTACTCCATTAGGCAATAAGAATGGCGAAGCTCGTCTATACACACGCATTAACAACCTGTTTCCACATATACTTTGAAATAAGATAAACGGATTTTGAATGTAAAACATTGGTATTTGTTACAAATAAATGAAATGTTGTTCTATAAAAATGAAAATTTTTGATTGAAAAATCGGGATGTTACATGTAAAACCCCCAGAGTCTAATGCATGGCATTCACCGTCAATTTACTGATCATTAGATGGGTTGGAATCTAATTATCGGATCTCACCATCATCATCTACGTCATCTTCATCAGTCAAAAGAAGAACTCGAAATTGGCCATCAGTATTGTCTTGTAAGGTGCTTTGTACCGATAGAATGGGTGGAATTAAGATTAGGTCGGACCGGGTCGGGTGGTTTATTTGGTAGGTGCCCAAATTAATAGCGGTGCGACTAGTTGGGTTAAAGGGTGTATTGGGTTTAGTAAAATAATAGGCTAAGGAGTTATTACCTTTCTAAGTGGAGCCCAATGTTGAATACCCTGTTCCATAAGACTACTCGGCAACGCCCACTCCCGTTATTGTGCCTCATAACACGTGATAACGCCAATGAACACCTCCCCTCCCTCCCGTTATTACATGTTAAAGGCTTTCGCGTTACTTCCCGTTACCACCATCACATTTGGTAACGGCGTTTTTTTGTTTTTTAGCCTAGTAACTCGTGTGGGCGTTGCCCACACCCACCTCTCTAAGAAGGAGTATGTGTCTATGATTTGCGTTTATCGCCTCCTGCGCAAGTAGCGACGACAACGTGGCGAGCTATCTCCATGGCGGCGTCGCACGTGGTAGGGCGGAGAGCACGGACCAGTTGCAGATATCAATTTGAAGACCACGTAAGAACATTCCAGGGATTACTCCTCATATTGCTCTGGAACCAAAGCCGATAATGATTCAAATTGCTCTATATATTCTTCGACGTTTCCCTTTTGGAATAGAGAGCTCAATGCTTCGTGAGCGTTCAAGAATTGGAAACCCCCAAATCGAATAAAAAGTTTAGCCTTGAATTGTTCCCATGTTGACTGGGGATGCTGGAATAACAGGGTAGTGAACCAGTTGAGAGCTGGACCTTCCACACACATTTGTGAGAGCTTCAGCTTGTTGGGTTCAGTGGTTTGGTGAACAGTGAAATAGAGCTTCTGTGCCATCAAACATTGGGAGTTTGACCTTGGGAAGAGAGAAAAGTGAATCATCGGTGTGGTTGTGATTTGTTGAGCCAAAACGACGAGGGTAGAGGGTAGCGGATTTAATGATGATTTCAGATTATTCTCCTTCTTCAGGGCGTTTTCTAGATTGTTCAGGTGATTTTTGCAACAACTTCTCGATAAGTACTTTCATCTCCTGCATCTGGGTGGAGGGGTAATCAATTTTCCCTTCTTGGGTATCCATTCTAGCTTGAAGAGTTTGCAAACGAGTAGAGACTTGGGCTTCCGTTGGCTGCACCATAGTAGAGAAAGGAAAGAAACTGTGACAATGGAACCAATTGTAGGAAGGAGAACAAAACAACTACTAAACAGATAAAATAAACAAGCCACAGATTCAAGAGCAAAATGCTTATGATTCACGGATTTCAAAATAGAGAATACAAAATGGAAATTCAAAGAAGAAAACCTAATGATTCCCTACCTGCCCAAGCTAATGATTAGCCAATCCTTAATAACAGAAAAATATTCTCTCACGTGGCCCTTATTCTTGCATTCACCACAATATATAGTCTTCTCTCAAAAAGATGCCTTCACTCAAAGCATCACAGCCCTACAACTCTTGTTCTTTTCTTGGAAGAATAAACCTTCCAAGGTTTGGTGGGCTCAATGGGCTGATCTCTATCAGTCATCATATATGGAAGCAAGTTATAACTCTCTGGTGACTTTCTCTGGTGACTTCTCTGGTTGGTTTATATCATCAAGTTGTCTATGCATTTCTAATCATACTCATTCTTATAAGTCATTTACATGCAGTAGGCTCTTTTCCCATCATCAATTGTTTACAAGCACAATACAAAGCGATTAGTACACCCCGTAAGTTTTCAAACTAAAATCCATAGCAAATCACAAGCCCATGAATATCATATGTTTCACAAGTTCGTTTTTTCATGTGTGTATGTGTGTGCCTTTATGCATGTGTATGTGGTGTTTGCCCAACAATCTACTTTGCCCAAGTTTTTAAATATGAAAGAGATAGAATGATAAGAATAAGAGAAATTTCATCAAATGACCAAAAGAAAGGGGGTGTTTGAACATTTTGACCATGAAAATTTGAGTTTTGTAGAATGACCAATGAATCCTCAGAGGGGGCTCAGTGAAAGCCTTTAACCTTTTGAGGAATGTGAATAGTAACGAGGAATTGAGGTGGCAGGGAAAAAAGACAAAAAAAAAAAGGTTTGTGGCATAGTTCCTCAGAGGGGGCTATGAGGAAAGGTGGCTAAGGCTCTAAGGATCTGTTCTTCATCAACATACCTCTGAGGAACTGTTCTTCGGCTAACACTGAAAAAAATTGGAATATTGAGGATTTTTTCTAGAGTATATATTTTGAATAATCTTGTTTCACACATTTTGAAGTAATTAGTTATTAATCAAATCAAATATTAAATTCCTATAAGATGAACGTAGCACTTTAATTCTAGGAATATCGATTAAATAATTATTATGTAATTTTAAATTTAAGAAAATAAATCATAACAAAAATCGGGATTTCATTAGCCGAAGAACAGTTCCTCAGAGGTATATTGATGAAGAACAGATCCTCAGAGCTTCAACCACCTTTCCTCATAGCCCCTTTAAGGAACTATACAACAAACTTTTTTTTTGTCTTTTTCCCCTGACACCTGAATTCCTGGTTACTATTCACAATGAGCCCCTCTGAGGATCTCTTGGTCATTCTATAAAACTCAAATTTTCATAGTCAAAATGTTCACCCCCTTTCTTTTGGTCATTTAATAAAATTTCTCTAAGAATAAAAAGGGGTGTTGCATCTGGCATGTGTGAGTATGTGTTTTTAATGTGTGAGAGAGAGAGGGTGGCATGGGGCCTACTTTTTTTTTCTTTTTCTTTTTTTTTTAATTATGAGTCACTGATTGTTCAAAATTAGATTAGAAGATTATTGATAAATTGTATAAAAAAATTACCAGTGTATAAAACTTAAAGTTCATTACTCTCATAATTCATTATCCTTATTTTCTTCTCAAGCCATCTTTTAATTCTTCAAATATCACTTCTCCTCCTTCGTATCTTTTCTCCATTCCCACATTTTTTCTATCCATGTTTCTGGTCATTTCTCATCCTAACAACCTGCGTAAATGGAAACAAAAGTATATACAACATAACTTTAATCCAAACTCAATGTGGCGGACCTTAGTGGAGCCTGGGGGGTGTCGGGCCACTACTCCGATTCCGGCACGTAATTTTAAAATACGAGTGTCACTACTAATGTAGATTTATTTCGAAATTTTTTTTAGTGCCACCCCTACTAAAACGTTCTGCGTCTGCCACCGGTAATAGTTTAAAAAGTTACCTACACTGCTTTTAGAAAATGGTTATCAAAGAAAACAAGGTAGCCGTAGCTTATATCATATGCTTTGCTAAGGGCTGCTAAGAATGTTTGAGTTGTTGTATAAAGCGGTGTCTACCATTCACTCTAATCATAGATGAGTAAAGGCTGGACAACAACAAATTAAGATTAAAGGATGAGGAGTTATGAAGAAAAAAACAAGCTGATGGTGGGCAGTTACACATCGAGGAATGATCCACATGTAATTTAGTCCAATAATAAACAAAACTTATATTCATTTATATAGGTTAGTTTGGATTAAGGGATTTAAGAAGCAAATTAATTTAAATTTACAAACAAATATTGGTATTTTATGCCAAAAAGAATGATTAAATGTACATACTTAGAACAAATCAGAAAAAAGGTCGTCTCTGTAAGCTTTCCACTCCGTATATGACCCTTCGTAGTCTGTCTGAAGAGATTTTCTCCATCCATGTAAATCTATGACAGTGTGATAAGATTGTATCAGTATTTGCAAGCTTAATCTTGTTAAAAAGCATCAGCTCAAAGACGAACTAACCGTTATGGGGAATGGTATCACCAAGTAATATATCTAACCAATCAGGGGTGGTAAACTCCAAGTAATCACGGCGACAAAGATAATAGGCTCCTGTAGTGAGCTCAAATTCAGATAGATCTCCTCCAATAACTTCTTCCTCTTTCTTGTAATTTTTGTAGTATTCTAACTCTTCTTCACCATCATATATGAACGCAAGGCTGGCACCACACCTGCTTACCATAAATCCATCCCCCACAATAATGGACACATTGATTTCATCTCCAGCGTCTAATGTATTCCCAATGGGCCAATAACTTATATTTGGACAACGGCTCACATCGAGTACCCGAAGCATTTTAAGATTAGTGTAATTGGTCAGGAACATTAACGGATTACTGCCAAAATTCATGTGATTTAAAGACAATGGATCATCATCATGGCTTCTATCATGGTTGCAGTCATTGAGAAACAGAACCTTTAACGAGTCTGGAAAGGGGACCAAAAACGGTTGTGGTATTCCTCCACCGGTACATAGAGTTTTTAGCATTTGCAATGGATTTGCATACTTATTATTCAATGCAACCTTCCCATGATAATTACACCATCCAAAGTCCAATAGTGAAAGCTTCCTAAGACCTCCAATGGTTTCACAAACATCAGTCAGACTGAGACTCATACAAAACGAGAGAATCAAAGTCTCGAGATTAGGAAGTCGCGAAAGATGACAGACACTAACAAGATTGAGCGACCATTTAAGATTTAGGATCTTCAGCGAATTAAGAACCTGTTCCAAGAATACCAAGATTGATTCATCGTACTTTAGCACATAAACTATCAGAAAGTTAGGAAACAGAGGTTGTGTTTGGTTGTATAACATTATCTAGTTTTCAAGAAAAATGAAAATTTTGACAACACGTTTGGTTTGATAATTTTTCTAAATAATTTCCGGGAAATGAAAATTTTCCCTTTTCCAAAATAACAAAGAACTTGGAAAACTGATAGTTATTGTTTTTCCACACTTTTCCATTTCCAAAAGTTTTCTAAAATATAAACACACACACCCAACCCGACCCACACCCCCACACACTCCGCCCACACCCACCCCATCCGTACAGACCCTACACACCCACCCCACACCACCTACCTACCCCCACATCCACCCCCACCCACACTAACCCATACCTACCGCCATACCCACATACCCAATCCACCCCACCTCACCCCAAACCTTACTTACCCCACACACACAACCCACCCCTAAACCTAGTTAAAATAACTTAATAAGAATTTCAATAGTTTCTTGTACAAAAACAATTTAAAATAACAAAAACTAGTGGAAATTGAAAACTGATAGAAAAAACACAACCAAACACGTTTTCTAATTTTCTAAAAAGGAAAATGAAAACTCTAAAGTTTTAACTAAACGCGTTTTCTAAATTTTCCAATAACAACTGAAAATGAAAACCCTACTCCTTTTTTGAAAACTTTTACAAGAAAATTGAAAACACTTTTCCACAACCAAAAAGGTGAAGTGACAATCAGGACATCAAATTCCTACCATGGGTGGTTCAAACTTCTCCAACCATCCATTGCTCATATCTATAGCCACCAAGTTGCTACCCAATAAGCCGGATGGTATTTCTTTCAATTGACAATAACTCCAGTACAACCATCTTAATTTTGGAAAATTCTTATAGGACCCTGTGAGTTCTACATGTCGGAGCTTGAGAAATTTTAGTTGGTCCATTTTTGCAAGTGAAGCTGTTTTAAGGGCTGATTGCTGCAAGTTTAGCATTAAGTTAATTAATTATTAGTACATACCTCATGTATGACATAAAATGCATTGAAAATTAAAAAGGTAAGTGGATCAAAAATATCAAGAGTACCACACTCATTCACATCTTTGGCTTACATTTGATCTCATCCTGTTCTCGAGGCGCTCATCCATGTCAAGTGCTAGACCTTCAATTGTTTTTGAACCCCAACAGAGGAAGACATGAAATGAGAGAAGGAAAGTTAACATATAGGAGGCTGTGGTAGGGAAAGTAAGTATGAAGTGACATAAGAAGCATCTTTTACCTCTCCATTTTCCAATAAATCATAAGATGCATCATTTTGTGAGACTCTACTACGTGCTGCAGGATCTCTGGACTCTTGAAGGACGATGTTTCTTGCCATCTCTTGAAGCAGTTGATGCATCATCAGTTTCTTACTTGGTGAGACAGTAAGAAGGCATCTGTTTATGAGGGTCATGATCCCAGCCTTTGCATGCCAGTCATGCTCCAATACGTTTACCACATAATCATCATGAAAACCAACAAAGAAAAAAGCAATATGCAGAAACAACTCTTTGTTACTGGAATGTGGTAATGAGTCAAAGCTCTTTTGTAGTATACCATGGATTCTATCATCAAGATTTCCTTTCAATGAATTCAGTGAATTCAATGTACTTCTCCAAACCTCTATCATGCTATTTATTTTCCATGGCTGGCCAACATCAACAAATAGAGAAGAACCTAGTACTTTAAGAGCTAGTGGGCTTCCACCACAATCCTCTGCTAACTGAACTGCGAGCTCCTTGAAATCTTCCATAGGAATTTTGGATCCAAATGCATGGCAACTTAAAAGCTCTAATGATTCACAGTCATTCAGCAATTCGGGTTTTTGCACCTCGCACCTCCAAGATATGGACCCAAACCATGCATTTATATCTAGAAGCCTAGTTGTTACTATGATCTTGCTTTGTGTATGAAACGCACGTGTTCCAAGTAAAGCGCCTAATTGGTCATGTGCATCAATGTCATCAAGAATAATAAGCGCCTTTTTCACTTGTAAGGCATCCTCAACCTTCATTGTCTCCCGAGATACACTAGATATACTTGCATTCTTTCCCCCTAGAACGTCTGTGAGAAGTTGTTTCTGTAGCCCAAGCAAACCATCAGACTGTTTAGAGTGCTTTCCGATCTCTTCAAGGTAACTGCTGCTTTCAAAATCTTCCTTGTTTGAGTTATAAATGAATTGGGCGAGTGTGGTCTTGCCACTGCCTCCCATGCCACAAATTGCTAAAACATTAGCACCAGATTGTTCATTTTTCAACCAAGAATTGATAATTTCAGATCGAGTGTCCATTCCAATTAGATGAGCTGGAGTACTAACTAGATTCAAATCTAGTTCAGACTTGATTTTACCAACAATCTCTGAGATAAAATCTGTTTCAGACCTGAAATAATAGAAAAAGAAAAGAAGCACATTCATGTCATTTAATCTTCTTAAACACTTTATCTTTCTTCAGTTATAGTGGATGGAATTCAAAAAATAATATTTTCCCTGTAACCATTATCAACCCGCTAAATATGATGAACTGAGGTGTACATAGTAAGTGTAAATGCAATCTGATTGAATTAAGTTTTCAACAATGTGAAGCCCAACTAGATACACCCAATACTTGTAGGGCCAAAGTCAAACCCCAATACCTGCTATGTTATCGGTTTTAATTTTAGCTTCACTTCTTACTCACTATTTCACATCATATATATTATATACATACGTGATACATCATACATGAATATATGCATATTGTAGATTTGTAGTAAACCATTCATAAGTAAGGAGGAGAAAGGCATAATGTCTATACATAACCGAAAAGCTATTTATCCGGTCAATTAAACTTGCAATCTTCATTATATAGAAAATTCAATTACCATGCCAAATGTGTCTAGAGACAAAGAGCAAAGCAAATGAAGTATGTGTGCAAAAGTAAACCAACCCCTTACAGTACTACGGAAAAGCCATGTAATACACACAGGTAAACTTCTAATCATCTGGCTCTTTGCATAGATTTAAAGCACAATATGAGCAAAAGAAAATTTCATGACTTACATGTTTTTAAAAGAATACCTGAATACGATCATCTGCTAGACACAAACTACGATTCCTTATCATATTTAATACTCTCAGTTTAATTAATCAAAAAGAGTTTACGAAGGATTAAACAATAAACACGAATAGAGAAAGCATACCCAGAAGCAACCATGCCGGTCAAATGAGCAACCTCTGTAAGGGCTGCCTTCCATCGATTGACATTATACTCTGTCCATTTTGACCCTTCTGCTCCTTCGTCTACATTAATCGCGAAACTTTGTCTTTGGTTCCTGACATCTGAGGGATCGACATGGTAAAACACTGGTAAAACAAAATGATTTATGCTCCCCCTTTGCTCAAGGATCAACAGCAGCTCGTCAAGGCACAATTCGCATACTTCTGTGACAAGACAACGATAGAAGCCCTGGATTTTCTGATTGCTCTATCGATTTCCGGCTTCAGTTCTTGACCTCTGTCGATATTATCATTATCCCTAAAAGTGCGAACTCCTGCTCGTTTTAAAGCTGCATAGAGATGATCTGTAAATGAGTTACGAGTATCTTCACCTCTAAAGCTTAAAAAAACGTCATGGCAGCTAGTATGATTTAGTAGAGAAGCAAAAGATGAAGTAGACGCCATTGAAATTAGTACGATGAGACTTGAGAGGTTGTTAAACAAAGGGAATTATAAAGGCATCAAAGTCAACGTCTCCGGTCTCCGGAGAATTACATACGTGTTAGGTGACGTTGGATTGTTGTTATGTTGTGATTAAAATCCCGGCTATTTCTACGCGTTTGTTTCAAATATATCAAAAAATTAAATTAGTAACTAGTTTGATATATGGGTTGGTTAAAATAAAAAATTAAATACTAAGGTTTAAACAAAAGTTTATTTAATTTGAAATTTTAGATTTGAAATTTAAAATTTAAAATTTAAAATTTGAATTTAAAAGGAAACATATTAAATACTATATGAGTTGTAATATTGTAATTTATTGGTTATTTTCAATTAAAACAATTATTAATTGAGGTGTAAATATGATGTGTTAATTAAAAAAAATTTAAAAAATGAGAAAATGACAAATGGAAAAAACATTTATTGAAAAATACCAAAAAAATGACATGTGTCCAAGTTAATAAGAGAGTGATATGTCGCAAAAATTATTTTCATTTATTAGGGAAGATTGTTTAAGATATTTTTGTTAAGTTTGAAGTTTCTTTCTCAAAACACAAAGCTGCAAGAATGGTCCCGTGCTATGTTAAAAATTGTCATTTTTGTCTAAAAAGGTTTCGACTAAAACCATTGATCTAAATCTTTCATTTTGTTATGGGTTTGGTCTATTTTCTTTTAAAAATGTTCAAAATGACAAATTTGCCCTTTACAATTTCATTTTCCATTTTCTTTTTATTAGAATAATTAAAAAAGAAAGAAAACTACAAATATTGACCCCGCCTCTCTCTCTCTCTCTCACACACACACACATAGATCCACCTTTAAGAACATGAAGAACGCCCGGTACTCCCATCCCTTCTCTGGTTCGGTCACCACTATAACTACCGCCAAACCACCAACAATAACCAATTTTTCCTAGAAAAATCGAGCCTTCAGACAGTAACAATCATATTCATCTTCAACCCACCACGAAAAATCACCACCATCGAGAACCTATCATCCCCAACTACCTTGTTCTGCCATTTATCTTCTGATCAAATTGCAACTCAAAAAAATATTAAGAACGAATAAGATTGAAGAATAGGGGACTGTGATTGAATGGAGAAGTGCCGCCTGCGATCAAACAAAAGAAGAAAAGAAAAGGTCGATTTATTTGTCCTCTTGAGTGTGACATGCAATCTAATTTGAAGAAGGAAAGAAGGAGACACAGACGACATTAATGGAGGTGGTCGGAGGATCCTTGGCTTCATATCTTATGTATGTTGACGATGACAAGGGCAGATCTAGACAAGATGCATTGAATACGGCGCTTGTAATAACTTTGCATATCCGGTTCACCATTTGAAGTGATTTCAAAATGTCACACCCCCGGCCGAGGCGGCGGAACACGTCGGGCTGTGCGACTAAGTTCATGGAACACAGGTAAAACTAAATATATAGCACAAGTATAACGATAAACAAAACAACATTTGTATTCCATCGTTAAGTTTGAATACAGGGTTCACAGATAATAATAGTACCGTAGTTGCCTTAAACAGGTAAGCAAATAACAAAAACTAGATAGCTAGGTCACCTGTAATCCGTGACCAATCTTCTGTCTGAACGCTTGTCTAATGATCTCCTAAGAATACATGTAAATTTGGGGTCAACACAAAGGTTGGTGAGAGTCACAGGTTTTCTGTAATAATGATACTTTTAATATGATCCAAAAAGTATTGCCTTTGTTGTATGTAAAACCGTGTTTGGAAATGTTTGGAAATGTTTGTTATCAGTATGTCTTTTATGCTTACCGGGTGGGGCCCGATGCCGAGCGGGGTTCGATGACTGTATGGTATGATATGGTCTTTGTGATTATTACATGTGCTAGTAGGATTATATGTTTATATGATTATATGGTTATCTGGTTATGTGTGTATCGGGTCGGGCCCAAACTCAGGCGGGGCCTGGTGATTGACAGATCTGTAATCCGAGTGGGGCTCGATGTCGAGTGGGGCTCGATGTCGGGCGAGGCTCGATGGAGGGCAGGGGCCCAGTATTTGATTTATGAATGTGTGGTATGTGGTATCTTGGGTAACTCATTAAGCTTTATGCTTACGGTTTTCAGTTTATGTTTTCAGGTACTTTGGTTTTCAAATGGAGAGATCGGGATGATTGCAGAGCACACACCGCATGTTTCCGCATTCTGTGATTTACTCTGATATGATAATGTTTTGAATGAATCTTGATCACTTTGGTTTTGTGGAAATTATATGTATTAACGGTTTATTAATTTAAAAATGAAAATTTTATGATATTATTTTTGGGACGTTACATATTCACCAACACGAAAAACAATATGCAGAAACAACTCAATGTACTTCTTCAAACCTATCATGCTATATATTCTCCATGCTTGGCTAACATCAACAAACAGAGAAGAGCCTAGTATTTTAAGAGCTAGCGGGAATCCACCACAATACTGTGCTAACTGAACTTCGAGCTCCATGAAATCTTCCATAGTAACTTTCGATCCAAATGCATGGCAACTTAAAATCTCTAATGATTCATCATCATTCAACAATCCAAGTTCGTGCACCTCGCAACTCCAAGATATGGACCCAAACCATGCATTTATATCTAGAAGCCTAGTTGTAACATCCCGATTTCCAGAAGTGAGATTTTAGGGATTTTTATGCAATCAAGGAAGCCTACTCGACGAGTTGGAGGCTCCAACTCGTCGTGTAGAGGGTAGTCAACTCGCGTGACTTTTAGGACCTACTCGACGAGTTGGAGGACCCAACTTGACGAGTTGGCGATGTGTAAGGAAACCGTAATTTTTAGGGTTTTCACCCTATTTAGAGATCCTTAACCTCACTTCTCAGCCTTCTTACTACCCTTTCACGTCCAGAAGCAAAACCCTAACTATCTAACCCCCATTTTTGAGTGTTGTGAGGCTAAAGGTGTGTTGTTGGTGCATATCTTGAAGAATTGGAAGCTAAGAACGAGGAGGAGCTTGTAGATCCAACATCTACTTTAGCTTCGCATCATTTGGAAGGTAACAAGTCGTTACCTTGATCATCCTAGTGTTAGATCTCCACATCTAAAGGCTTAAAGCCATTTCTAACGTTTTTATGGGTCATTTCTTGTATGGAGCATGATCTGAAGTTGCAACTTCAGATCTGGACTCTCATAGGCCTGTAATGTCATAAAGCCTCAAGCTTTTTGAAGCTTTGGCTCTTCTCCATAGCCTAAACCTTTCCTTTAGTCTAGTTTTTGTTGGATTAGGTGTCTAAGACCATAACTATAATTGATATGTACTTGACTTGATAATGAGCATGGTCCTTTTGGGTTGCCTTCACTCATGCAACTTGTAGGATGACAAGTGGAGAGAGTAGGATTTATTATATGAAAACAAATTGGTACTCAAAATGGTTTTATTAATATATTAAGAGATTAATATATTATTTGGAAATCATATTATTAATTAGTGATTAATCAGAAATTAATTTAATATTAATTTTGGGATTAAAGGAACTGATTAATAATTGAGAGATTGTTGTGCAAATCATTGATAGTTGCATAATCGGGCTGATGGACTCCATAGAGTGGAGTGGACGAAATTTATGGGTAAGCCCATAAGATTTCGTCCAAGGGCGTAAAGGAAGGAGTCAATGGGCTGCTTGTTGCCTAAGCAAGGTATTAGGGTTTCCACCTGAAAACCCTAGCAGCCACAACTATATAAGCAACCATCTTTATGTGATTTCTGGCCTATGTATGTCTTCTAAGAGTTGCCTGGCCGATTTCCACCTCTCTCCAAGTCATCCTTGTTGTGTAGAGTGTTTGTGACTCCATTAGAGGTGCAACATTCGGGGCACTAAGCTTTCAAAGGTCAAGGATTTCTTGTTATTACAATATAACAAGTGAGGTAATGTTTCAAACCCTAATTTCATATGAATTTTGATTATTGTATGCTAGTCTTAGGGTTCTATGCCTTGGTATTCAATTTTCATGTTCAATAGAAGAGAAAAACCTAGATCTAAAGCATTAGGGTTGCATGTACACCATAGGAATGTTGTAATGCTCAAAACCCATCAGTGGTATCATAGCCTAGGTCATTTTTCTGTTGTATGATGCAATTTTGTTGTGTTCAAAGCTGAAAGAAGTCGAAATCTGGACTCTGTCAGATGAACTCGATGAGTCTACTATGGAACTCGACGAGTTGAGCCAACTTGACGAGTCCATGCCCTGACTCGACGAGTTGACTCGTCGGTTGACAGATTTTTCGGGATTTTGGCCAGAATTGGATTTGGATAATTACCATAAACTGTTTTGACTGATAAAATTCGATTTTTATATTATGGTAATGATTATCTTCATCTAATTAAAGGATAATTGTCAAATTTTAAGATAATTACTAGATTATATGATAAATTAATTATTAGTAAAATTTGATTTGAATTATCTTACCATATATAATGGATTAGTTCAGATTATGTGATAAAGATTAATTATATGATTAATTATTTGTTTTCAAATTTGATCAGTTTTAAAATTTGCCCTCAAGTTTTGGAATTTAAAATTTGATTAAGAGTCTTAATTTTGAAATATTTAAATTCTAAACCCTAGTATTTTAATAGTTTAAAATACACCCTCATGGATTGTACTAATTAACTAATTAAGTGTTTTAATTAAAGGATAATTAATAAGTCCATAGATAGGTTTAAGTCTAATTAAATTAAGAGTCTAATTTATTTATAGATTAAACCACTTAGTATTTTAAATGTTAAAAAATACACCCTTATATATAAAATTAAAAGTCTAATATATTATATATGTATAAGTTAAAAGCCAGTCTTACCGTTAGTAGGCCTCATTCACGAAGTTGGTCTATAATGGGTGTTTAAGGAAGCGGCCTGTAAAATAACCGTCATTGGGTATCCACTCTTACCCACCGCACCCTTGACCAGTGGAGGGTCGTTAGCCGAATGGGTTTGATAGGACACATCATTATTAGTATGATGAATAAATAAAGTAACTAAATGTTTTATTAATTCTCAATCTTA